AAATATTCCACCAGGAAGAACAACAGCTTTTAAAATACCCCACCAGGAAGAACAGCTTTTAAAATACCCCACCAGGAAGAACAACAGCCTTTAAAATACCCCACCAGGAAGAACAGCTTTTAAAATACCCCACCAGGAAGAACAACAGCCTTTAAAATACCCCACCAGGAAGAACCTCTGACAAGAAGCTTCTTGCCAGGTTTTAAGTTGAGGAAAAAAGGAGGGACCAATTTATTTCAACCACATATTCTTTTAAAAAAGAAACAGAACGCGTGCCCCTCAGCTGACAAATGAACAATGAAAATGTGGTTCATTTACACAATGAGGTTCTACTCTGCAGTAAAGAAAAATGGAATCATGAAATGTGCAGATAAATGGATGAAACCAGAAACTGTTACACTAGGTGAAGTAACACAGACTCAGAAAAACAAGCAATGTACATTCTCCCTCATTTGTGGATCTCAGCCACAAATTCCTATATGTGAGTATATATCCTGATATAAGTGCAGGAGCCAGGAAAATGGAAAGGAACCAGGGAGGTAAAGAGAAAGAAAGAGCTTGAGAGAGAAGAATAGTGGGAAATAAATGATACCAAGGAGGAAATGGGGGAAATATGGGTATTCAACAGAGAAGGGTAGAGGAGGACACACAAGGAGCTATGGGGGTAAATGGGAAGCAGAAGTTCAAGAGAAGGTATATAATAGGAGACAGGCATGATCAAGGGGAAAATGGGAGTATTTAAGATGGGAGGGCAGAGGGAGGTTAGACACAGAGAGAGGCAAATTACTTCTTTTCTAAGACATGGTCTCTGTATATAAACCCAAGTTAACTGCAAATCTGATGCAGTTATTCTGTCTCAGCCTCCAAAGTGCTGCCATGACTAACCAAGTTACTTCTTAAACTACAAATGCGCATTATTATGCACGATTTGTCTACTTGCCCTAAGATTTTTTTAAAACTTATTTTCTAGATCCCTGAGTGTCTGGTCACAGAAGCTCTTCCTCTGTGGACTCAGCAGCGCCTCTGTCTTGACTCAGGTAGTGACTGCCCTGTACCTAGGGCTCAGTCCTCTGAAATCGTTCTTCTCTTGTGATCTAATTTCTTGGATCCTACATTTATTTACCCTAAAGCTCACTCCTCAAGCTGTCATGGGGATTTTCCCTCCTCTCTTCCAGCTCCATCATGATAGTACCTGTGGTGTCTTCTATGATCCCAGAATCTCTCAGCCTCATCCCAGCCCTCTCCTAACATGCTGCAACTGCCCAGCTCTTCACCCCTTAAAAATGTGTTTTCTCTCTCCTCGTCCTTTGTATCTATCTACTCTGCAATGAATGTATGTTTTACCTTTAATTTTCATAATTAAATTAAGTCATTTTTCAATGAATGTAAAACTCTTAAGAAATTATAAATAAGTTTATTAATGGTTTCAAATATGACTATGCTTTCAAAGTTTACTAGAAAGAAGTTTTACCTTTAATTTTCATAATTAAATTAAGTCATTTTTCAATGAATGTAAAACTCTTAAGAAATTATAAATAAGTTTATTAATGGTTTCAAATATGACTATGCTTTCAAAGTTTACTAGAAAGAAGACAACAGTTTAAATTCCTTTTACCGGAGTATTTGAGAAGTAGCTTTTTTTTATCTCATTGAGTTTCATTGATCAGAGCAGACACAATTATGGGAGGTAGTTTCCTCTTTGTCCATTCCCCTTACAGATGTAGTGGAGGGCTGGAAGATGGCTCAGTGAATACAATGCTTGCTGTACAAGTGAAGAACCCATGTAAAAATTCAGACAGGCAATGATGCTGCCTGTAATCCCACCATTTGAGAGCTAGAGACAGGGGCTCTCCAGGATAAGCTACGTAGCTACACTAGACCCTGCCCCATAAATACAGGGGAGAGTAATCGGAAAAGATATTGGACATCATTTCAGGCCTATAAACACACAAGGTTGGCATGCATCTTTGCACACATGCATGCCCCCATACATGCAAAACAATCATGCACACCACATACATGCACTCCCCAAATTAATAATAAAGATAAAGATGTAATGGCTGCCTCTTGTGTATACAAGAACAGACTCAGAACAGAGTGTGTCGGGGAACCATACTGAGAGAGTGTTGGGAGCCTCTGTTATGCAAAGTCGAAGCCCCTTCACACCTGACAGCTCATGCAGCTCGGGAATTATGTGCTGCGGGCTCCTTTCATAGGAAGATATCTTCCTGGCATCTTTCCTGTCTCTCCTTTTGAAGTGTCTGCCACAAATGCCATAACATAAACATGGCCTTTGGCTCTGAAGGGTACCATGCCTTCCTGTATGATTTCTCCAGGCAGACAGCAGTCTGGCAGAAACCCAATTCCATATGTAAATAGAATGTCTCACAAAGTATCTAAAAGCTATTACCACTACCCCCAAGATATAAATATCCTAGTCTTCTCTTAATAGTCGGAGAATGGGTCCCAGAGATTGGGACCCAGAGATTGGGTCCCAGAGAGCTGGATCAGCAGGAGCTCGAGCAGAGACATTTAATAAAGCTGTAAACACAGACTGAGCCAAGCCTGAGTCTTGTGTCTTAATACCGGCGATCCAATCTCTCCAGGTGGCGCACTCCCTCATTACCGACCCGCGGACATCATAGCTTTTGCTCTCTCCATACACTTCCCACGTGGTTCAGTGATAGGGACAGGCTGTCTGCAGGACAACGCTCCTGCAGCAGAGAAGCTCCAGAGACACAGGACCCGAGCCACCGGGAAAAGCCTCCGGATCCGCCCTGCCATTCTGGGAGTGCGCCCAGAGAGAGAGCGCGTGCCCCTATATCTGGCGCCACAATGTGGGGCCCTCTGAACAACGTGGAGCTTAGCCTCTGAACCTTGTGCCAGCTAGGAGCTGGTGCCCACAGAAATGCTAGAATCCGTGAGTATCCCTCCCACTCAGGAGGGTAATCTAATCTCTTCCTCTCTTCTAAAATTTCCTCCTTTCCCTTTCTGGTCTAGAAATCCTCGCGAGGGACTGCTAGGACCAGAGAAACAACTGATGCCTCCTGGCCAGGGCTACTCCCTGGTGGTGGCCGAAGGTCTCTCTGACATCCTAGGAGGACCCCGACTGCCTGTACAGGTGTGGACAAAAAACCTCTGTCTAGACATCTTTTTAATATCAAAACTGGTGACACATCGGCCAAGTAAGGACCATTAGGGGCGGCCACCAGCCTCTCAAAATAAAATCCACCCATCAGCAAAATTAATCCTCACCCCTCTCTTGCTGATTCAACAAGCCCAGATACTAACGCCCAAATTTCAAAAGCTACCAAAGATTCTCCTCAAGTAAAACCTCCTCCCCCTCCACCTCGATTGCCTCCTGTGGAGACACGCCTCACAGTTACAAAACAGCTGTATAACCTTAGAGACAGTGAAAGCTGCCAGCCTCAAAATTTCCAGCCTCAAAGGTCTCAGGACCCCCAAAATCCACCAGTAAAGGCTTTTCCTGTTAATTTACAAATAACCAGACAGGGCCCTCTAGCCTGGTACCCACTTCCAGCTGCTGAGCTTAAGGAACTGCGCCAAGCTGTGCGAGAGGATGGCATTCATGCTCCTTGAACTAAATCTATATTATAAACATTTAATACTAACCTGCTTCCTCAGGATTAGAGGGACAATTGTAGATCCACCCTCCCCAGTCCATTATTTGTACAATGGGAAGCCTTATTTAGAGATGAATGCCTAATGCAAGCTAAAAGAAATGAAACTCATAATCAGCAGCTAAGACCTCAACCAGGACAGGATCCACCACCTAGATTTATAGATTGAAATTCTGACCAGCTTTTTGGTCAGGGCAACTTCTCCACAGGAATTCAGCAAGCTACAATTCCAGCTGGTTGTATAAAGCAGGTTCGCCTATGTGCCCTG